ACAATGAAATTGTAGGGATTTATCAAGCAATTTATTAAGAGGTGCTATACCTTCATCTATCGGCCGCCTCTCAAAATTACACTTTTTGTAAGCTATATCAAAGTACCAAATGGTATTCTATGTAGTTTTTTAATTGGATTGGTGTCTGAATAGCATTATTGCCTATGTATGTCATAGGAACTTGTCCACCAACTTCTTAAGCGGTGAAATCCCAGACATTGGAATTCTAAGCACTTTTGGGAACGATTCGTAAGTACTCACTGTCTCTCTCGACACTTTCATGTTGAGTGAAAATGGCCTAATCAAATCAAACACACACACACACACACACACATTGTTAAATCCCTAGAGACTGTCATTAATTATACGTGTATGTATGCATGTTTGTGCGGCTTAAGCTAAACAAACACTCATAGCCTAGTGTAATTGTGCTTTTTGAACTAAGATTTAGGCATGCATTATACTTATGTGAGTCAATTGCCCATTTTTACTGATTTGTCTGTAAAGTTTTTGAACTGGTTGATAAATTAATTCACGAATAAAGATGTTTCCACTAACTTTTCAGTAATTATATAGCACCAATTGTGCACTATATGCAGTACAGATAGGACCTTCAATACCTTCTCTCTTCTTCCTGTCTGAAGCATTTGTCATCTTGTTCTGAAATTTCCTTGAACATTCATATAGGTTTGTTGGCAATCTAGATCTTTGTGGCCAACAAGTGCACAAGCCCTGTCGGACCTCATTGGGATTTCCTGCAGTGCTACCAAAGAATGCTGTAAGTGATGAAGCAGCAGGCAAGTTCTCGATCCCTTTTCATCAGCTTTCTAGTCGAACGACAAGTTTTCTAAAATGCAGTTCTGGAATTTTGTAAATCACATCTAACCAAATTCTTATGTAAAAAGTAGCAATGTACTTATGCTAATTTATTGAATTCACTGTGGATATTCCAGTGCCCTCTAAACGATCTTCTCATTACATCAAAGGAGTGCTTATTGGTGCAATGTCTGCCTTGGGCTTTGCGTTTTTCACTCTCCTTACCTTCCTTTGGGTTCGGTTTCTTTCGAAAAAGGAAAGAGTGGCTAAAAAATACACTGAAGTTAAAAAGCAAGTAAATCAAGAATCAAGTAAGCTCGATGTTTTCTGGACTTCATACAGTTATAAACTCAAACTTTATTATGGTTGCTGACAAAAATTTGAACATTTGACAGGTACAAAACTCATTACTTTCCATGGTGATATGCCCTACCCTTCAAGTGAAATCATTGAAAAGCTAGAGTCGCTCGATGAAGAGGATGTTGTAGGATCAGGAGGATTTGGCACTGTATACAGAATGGTTATGAATGATTGTGGTACTTTTGCTGTTAAAAGAATTGATAGAAGTCGGGAAGGATGTGATCAAGTTTTTGAGAGGGAGTTAGAGATCTTGGGTAGCATTAAGCACATAAACCTAGTTAACCTGCGAGGCTACTGCAGGCTCCCTGTTTCAAAGCTTCTCATATATGATTATCTAGCTATGGGCAGTTTAGATGATTTCTTGCATGGTAAGTGTCACCTCTCAGAATGTGCTAGAAATGAATGCTTTTTTGGGGATAGACTAGCTAGAATCGAATGATTTTGATTTGCTTTTTTTTTTTCCGTAATGTCTTTATCTCCTTTAGAGCATTGGGTGGAAGAGCGGCCTTTGAACTGGAATGCTCGTTTGAAAATTGCCCTGGGTTCTGCTCGAGGCATAGCATACCTGCACCATGACTGCTCTCCGAAGATAGTACACCGTGACATAAAATCGAGCAACATTCTTCTAAATGAAAACTTGGATCCCCATGTCTCTGACTTTGGCCTTGCAAAGCTTTTGGTGGATGAGGATGCCCATATTACGACAGTGGTGGCTGGCACCTTTGGCTATCTGGCTCCAGGTTTGTCCCATATTATGGTCTTGTATGCATTTCGTAACCCTGTTTCCGCTGTAAGTAAATATAGTAGAGCTAGATTATGGTGATCACACGGTTCAATCGTTATAGATTTTGATATACAGTCACCTATGTCGGACATCCTTACCATGATTTACCATTTAGTGAATGTTTATCACACAACTAAATGAATGCTGAATGAATTATCTCTGCCCTAAAAGTTAAAACCTGCTTGATCAAAATATGAGACGACTGACTAATCGCTCGCTGTAATATGGAAATATGAAATTTATAGAGATGTTAATCAATTGGTTTTTGGTTATTGCAGAGTATCTGCAAAGTGGGAGAGCCACTCAGAAGACAGATGTGTATAGCTTTGGAGTTCTATTGCTAGAGCTTGTGACCGGAAAAAGACCTACTGATCCTACGTTTGTAAAACGAGGCTTAAATGTTGTTGGTTGGGTAAGCTCCTTTCCTTCCTAAAATTACTATGACAGATGCATTCATATTTTTCATGTAAGACAATGTTGTCAGACCACAGTATCGATCTGAATAACTCTTTCATTAATATGCAGATGAACACCCAATTGAGAGAAAACAGGCTGCATGAAGTAGTAGACAAAAGGTGCAAAGATGCAGATGCTGAAACTGTGGAAGCAATTCTTGAAATCGCGGCAAGGTGCACCGATGCAAACCCTGATGACCGGCCATCAATGAACCAGGTATTGCAGTTGCTAGAGCCAGAGGTCATGTCACCGTGCCCGAGCGATTTCTACGAGTCTCATTCAGATCATTACTGATCATTAGGCTAAAATGCCTAATGACTGCAGGATTACAGAATGTTCATTCATGTTCTATTGAGTTTGTGCTGTTGTCCCTGCCCCTCCCTGGGGTAAAGAATGTAAATTAAATTATATGTATCAGACGAACCATGGTATCCAATTTCTGCTTGGATGGCACAAACCCAAAAGAAGAAAAAATATTCCCATGCAAACATTTGCAAAGAGCTGCAAGCTTTCCTTTCTTTATTCTACATGTCATGGTTTTCTTTTATTTTCTATTTTATTTCCAATGTTAGGCAAACGACCACACATGGGAAAACACAACCGTTCATTTGTGTTTTCTTTTATATAATTGGAATGGAAGACTCGAATACGTAACTTCGCATGCAAGGTTAGATTCTTAATTATTTAAGGTACACGTCTCTTGCAGAGCCAATCGTTTTTAAATCACAAATTAAGTCGTCTTCATAAAAGTCAACTAAATTGAAGATATCTCCAAAGGTGATGCAAATACGTCAATTAGGATCAAAAGACATTAAATATTTTTCAAAGGGCGATGTTACTTTTGATGCGACAACTGAGTCATTTGACTCTTTACTTTCTAACTGTGTTTTTTTTTTTTTCACAGCAAACAAAGATAGAGCCAAATGTCTTCAATTTAACTTTTTAAATGCATGAGGGCCATTGACAACTTATAGGATGAAAACTAAATTCAATTTTTAATTATTTTTTAATAATTAATATAACTATGGGGTCCAATATATTAATAAAATAAGGAAGCATTTTTGCTTATCATCATAAACTATAGTGTATGTACTTACAAAATAAACATTTGACACATCAACTAGAAACGAAGAGGATCTAACATCTATATCAATTGGCCATATCAAACATCGTATAAAATTTTAACATAAATATGACATCTCTTTTAAAAATTCTAAACTATGCTTATACAACAAATTGACGATTTTAAAATAGTCACTGAGTACTACGGTCTAGTGGTATTCCTCTTCACTTGTAAGTGAGAGGTATTAGGTTCGATTCTCGCCAAAGACAAATTTTAACCACATTATTGCTAGCCCATTGTGAGGCTAAACCCACCTCATCCCCCTTAGTGTAGATAATATCATTTGTTCAAAAAAAAAAAAGGGCTTTCTAGCCAAAATGGTCCCTAAGATTTGCATAACACATCATTTTGTTCTCTGAGATTGAAAGGTGACTGGTCCGCGGGAAAACTAGAAAACTCGCCAAAAATTGGGTAAACTTTAAACATTCATAACGTCTTTAATACTCAACGAAATCGAGTGATTCAAAAACAAAAATCATACTTCTTAACAAAATGAAGAGAATAGTAGCTTTTTCAGTGGCTAAATAGTCATGAAGAGAATAGTAGCTTTTTCAGTGGCTAAATAGTCATGGTTTGGCTGGAAAATAGCTCGAAATGGCTGTCTTGGTTGAAAGTCGCCTTGTTTGGACATTCCTGCAGACCAGTCACCTTTCAGACCATTTTCCGGCTGACTCCGGCAACCATTGGGTTCCAAATAGGTATAATCTTGTGCTACACTTTCCTATCTTCATTTTTTTATATTATGGGTCGAATTTGGTTAATAAACGATTGAGTTACAAAGCTTTGAAAATTGCCTAAACTTTCGGCCAAGAGTTCTGGGACACTTAACGGAGTTTTTAACTAAAGGACCAACATAATGGATGGTGGACAATCTCAGGAACCAAAGTGATGTGTAATGCAAATCTCATGAACCATTTTAACTAAAAAGCCAAAAAAACAAAAAAACAAACAAACAAACAAACAAACAAATTAAAACACATATGACGGACAAAAAAAAACACACACATGATGAATCGTTCTTTCTTTAAGACAACCGGTTTTGAGAACCAAGTCTCTCATTAAATTTCTAATCTAGAGTAACTCACATATTTTTTGGGTCATCCCTCTATATTTAGCTTCAATAATAAACGTTGCTAAAACTTTTTGTTTTTTACTTTGTAGAGTAACTAGATTTACCTACATATAAAGGTAAACTCTTTATCTTCATACGGTCTAGTGGTATTCATCTTTATTTGTAAGTAAGAAGTTTTAGGTTCGATTCTCATTAATGGAGAATTTAAATCACATTATTGCTAACTCATTGTGAGGCTTAACTCACTCTCTCACCCTCTATGTAATAATATCATTTATTCCAAAAAAAAAAAAAAAAAAAAAATCCTTATCTTCGATTCATCCAGCTCAATCTCCATCTATATAACCTTCAAACTAACAAACTATCATCATTCGTTGCTTTAAGCCTGGCCTTTTAATAAGGGTAGGAGCTGAGTTAACTGCGTAACCTAATTATTAATTGGCTTAACTTAGCCCTAAGAAAATGGCTGACCTCACTGCCGACACAGTCTCAGTCAACCAAACCATCAAAAAGCTGCAAGGGAAGGTCGTAGTCGTTACCGGCGGCGCCAGCGGCATCGGCGAAGTCACCGCGCGCAAATTTGTCTTGCACGGCGCACGCGCAGTGGTGATCGCCGATATCCAGGACGAATTAGGCCAAACCGTCGTCGCATCCATCGGTCCTGGTCGCTCCACCTACATCCACTGCGACGTGACCGACGAGGACCAGGTCAGGAGCTTGATCGAATCGACGGTCAAGATCTACGGCCACCTCGACGTCATGTTCAGCAACGCCGGCATCGGCTGCGCGTCACAGCAGACAGTGCTGGAGTTGGACCTCTCCAACTACGACAAGGTCATGGCGGTCAACGCCCGCGGTATGGCGGCGTGTGTGAAGCATGCGGCGAAGGCGATGGTGGAGGGGGGCGTGAGGGGTAGCATCGTGTGCATGGCGAGCACAGCGGCGGGCCAAGGGGGACCGATGTTCACGGACTACAGAATGTCGAAGGACGCGGTGATGGGGCTGATGAGGTCGGCGAGTCTGCAGCTGGGTGCTAACGGTATACGCGTCAACTGTGTGTCTCCGGGGCCGGTAGTGACGCCACTGTTCTGCTGGCAGTTCCAGGTGGAGGCGGAAGATGCGGAGAATTTGTACGAGGCGCAGTTGGGGTTGAAAGCAGGGAAGAGGATGTCGGCGGAGAATGTGGCAGACGCCGTCGTTTTCTTGGCCTCGGACGACTCTGAATTTGTTACTGGCCACAATTTGGTCGTGGATGGTGGGTTTAAGATGTAGATAGATGCAAGAGTTGTATCTCACCTCTAATAATCACTACTCGAGAATCATTTCCAAAAAATAAAATATTACGAAACTATGATCATATTTCTTTATGTGTTACCTTATTGTAATCTGAGTGGATTATGTACTTGAGACACTATTAAAGAGTTTGGTCGCTCAAGTTTCCGCTGGAGGTATAACCGTGGCTAAAAATGTATTACTACTATTATTTTCTGTTGAATTGATTCAAACAAGGTCTTAGATTTGAGAGTTGCTTCGGATGCTTGCCTTGGATAATGTTTAAGTCGAATATGGACAGTCAAACAATACCAGATCTAAAAGATATAATATAGCACAGAATTGACGTTTTATTGCAATGTCGGAAAATAATTATACTTGTGCATCTTGGTGTTAATTTGATCTTGACCGGTTTTCGTTTTTCTTTTCTCCTAACAATTTAACACACTAACAATGTCATTTTTAAAATATAAAAAAATAGAGCACATATAGGGAAATCCAAACTCAAATGGACACTAAACACTCGACCAAAAATATATATATATATAATCACATGTTCTGAAGGTTTAACTTTAGAATATTTTCAAAAATAAAATAATAAAAAATATTAGGATTTTAGTTGCATATTTAAGAGAAAAGAAAAGGGAACCAACTCCTAGTCTTATGCGCCACTCAGTACTATGGTCTGATCACTTGGAAATGAGAGGTCTTAAGTTCGAATCTTGTGGATGACAAATTCAATACCAAATTAGATTGCGCATTGTGTGGCTTAACTGAACTCTCCGTCCCCTTAGTGTAAATATCGATGTATTCAAAAAATAAAAATAAAAAAACTCCCAGTCTTATGCAAGCTGCTTTGGTCTTATATCATACGGGTAAGAAAGAATAATATTTTGAATTGTTAATTAGTTTTCCTTTTTATTTATAAACACAACTGGATACAGTATGTAGATATGTAAAAAGCTAGAGAAGAAGACAATTGGGTTTATACATCAATTATTTGATATCTCTCTATTTATTTTTTAAGGAAACCCTAATTTTATGCAACTGCATCAGTTTGTCTATACTATATATCACTGGATATCATGCAAAGCTCCCTTTGAATTAAGGTGTTGGCCTGTTCATCTCTTTATAAAAACAAGTTGGACAGGTCCAACTCAATTTATTTCTCCAAATAATTCATAAGTTTACATATTAATACTACAGGTTTGCCTTTGGCCCTGAGGTCTACTATAAGTAACCAAATTATTTTACCCTGAAGTTTATACACATACACACCCGAACTCTTGTTCTTGAATCGGTTCAATTTTATTAAATCATGTGTGGTTATTAATACATTTGAGTCCTAAATCATTTAGCTTATGTTGTATGTTATTATTAAACACATAAAATAATCTCTATTATGCCCGATATGTAAAAACAAAAACACAAAAAAGATGCTAAGACCTCCTTTGTAAGTCCTCAAAGAGACGTGTGGTATGCCCTAACCCTGAGATGTGATAGCCTTAACTTTTTGACAGCCAATTAAACACATAATTAAGGCTTTTATCTTAAGGTAAATATATATGTTTGTTACTCCCACTATAATTTTATTTTCATTTGTATAAAGAAAATACATGTATGAGTATATCTATCTGCAAGACCAAGCCAGAGCATATATATATAGTAGACTTTTGGTTGCTTGACAAAGAAATGAGACCCGACTTCCAATCATCATCAATATGATATTGCAAATTTGTAATCGGTATCCGTCTTAAGAATTATATATAGTGCAAAATTGTAATTCACATTTATTTCTAGTGAGTTCCACGATGAATCGGGAGACGAGAGTTGGTTGTTGGTGAGAGATTATTAATGTACTCAGAACACAACCCGATAGACTATAATATCTAAAAAATAATAATATAAAGATTAAAATTTTAGTCGATGATGACAAAAGAAATGGGAACCATTAAACCAACTCCCACGTAATTTGATTCAACAAGCTATATATTATACTTTTATTGGCAGGGTACAATAGAGGTTTGGTATAAGTGCATGATTAAATATTAACAAGCTGCAAGGCAGAGGGAACAATACAGGGTTATAATACTTTTATTCATCAAGTTGTATAATTTGACGGTTTGTTTTATTCACACCTTATACTACATTCAACATATTTTTTGAACATATTTAATCCACTTTATATTTACTTTAAAAAAAAAAGTATCTTAACTTATCTCATTTATTTTTCTTATTTTTCAATACTACCTCGACATTTCGCACTCTCATACACATCCAACATCACACTCTTCTCAGTTTCAAAACAATAGAATAATCTGAATTTTAGAGACAAGAAAGATAGATTAATTGTTGTATAAAATCTCTAACATGCCGTCTAATTTATACATCCGAGTATCCTTTCAAATTTTCTTGAACAATCAACGTTGGAGTGCAAGAGCCCTGAAGCACAAACAGTAGGGACTATTCTTAAGGTCACGTCATTTGTTTAAATGGCTTTCATGTTCGTTGTTTTCAGATTTGTAAAAGGAACACATTTGTTTGTTTAAAACTGCCAACCGACGTGCACCCTTTTATGAAAGATTATAACCCAATTCCAAATCCCTTCCAAAAGGTTATATATGTCTAATGGCATTGCTTCAGTTTAAACCAGCGAAGAAACATTTGAAATGATGCATTACCAAATAATTTCTTGAATGCCTAAACCAAAGAATAAAAAGGGAACTAAAGCTCGATTTTATGTTTCATTCATAAAAAATAAATATGTTTGTGCTTTTAGGGTTTTGTTATAAAGTTTCATTGATGTAGTGCATCAACATTTGGCGTCGTCTAAGGAGATCGTCACAAAAAGCTATGTTCGTTCTCTCTCATTTTTTATCTCACCACCACATTGAGAATAGATCCCCCATTAATGGAAGGATAAAGCTTACATGTGCTTGTAAGTAATTGAGTTACTTTTCATAGTGTCAGTTGATTTTATACAGTAGAACCTTACATTTCTTCACGTTCTTCACCTTGACTTTTCAGCTTTTGATGTTCAACGTGAACTTACGTGGCATGGCCTCATGTGTCAAACATGCAGCGTGTGTCATGGTAGAGGCACGTGAGGGGGAGCAGTGTCTGCACAACAAGTGTGGTGGCGACTGGCGAGCCACGGCATGCAGATTCGTACGGACTACTGCATGGCGAAGCGCGCGGTACTAGGGTTGGTTCGGTCGGCGAGCCTGCAGCTCGGATTGCACGGGATTAGAGTGAACTGCGTCTCGCCGAACGCGCCAGCCATGCACGCCGTTGACTTGCAACGCGCGAGGGAATCAAGTGGAGGTAGTGAGGCAGGTGTGTGAGAAGTTTGCGTCCTTAAAGGGGGTCGTGCTGACGGCGAGGCATGTGGCAGAGGCGGAGCTGTTTCTTGCTTGTGAAGATTCTGAGCTTGTGACTGGACATGATATGATGGTGGATGGTGGCTTTATTTTCTGCATGATTATGCACTTCTTGGATTCCCCATTAGTGCAAGTCCACCGGAGGGTATAGCCCAGTGGACAGGGGACCAAAAAAACCCAATAGCCAGCCTTCCTTACTCCATCTCATGCGGGCAATTGGACTAGGGGCAGGCCGTGAGAGAGGGGAGGCAGGAATCAACAGCCCGAGCATCTGAGGGTGGTGATGCAAGGATGACATCATACACATTAAAAAATAATTAAAAAATTAAAAATTAAAAATAATAATAAATAATTTAAAGAATTAATTAAAAATGCAAAAAATTAATAAAAAAATCCGAAAATTAAAAAAAATTGATTTAATTTTTTTTATAAATATCTTATCATTATCTTCCACCTTACACTATAATTTATATTTTCTCAAATACTTTGGTTTGTAATTTTTTATTTAATGATACATGGTGCAACGAGACCGATTAAAAATCTTATCTGAAATTACAAATAAAATTATTTTTTATTATTTTGTAAAATAAAAAATACTAATATTTTATTATCTATTGCCATGGCTATTCAGTTTAAGGATAGAGATGTAAAAGACAATTACTATTTATTAAAGACAATTATTCTTTATTGGAGAGGATTTAATAAGCAGTTGCCCTGGGGCCTTCCAACACTGGCAGTGCTCTTATGATCTGCGTGAGTGTTAGGATCAATAATGGGCTTTGTATTTGTATCTGTGTGTGGTTTTGTTGAATGGGTTTCTTTTTTCTTATTTGCATAGAAAAGAATGGGCTTCGCTTGAGTGGTTGTGTAACAAATTTCTTTCCTTTCTAATGTAAAAGTATTTTCAATCATGTTTTTTATTTTTAATTAAATTTAATTAAGAATAAAAACATTATAAAGTAACTTAGATTTACTTTATTTATTTATCTATTTATTTTGATACAACGATATTCTACTTTGAGCGGAAGTGGTATTGTGCTAGGCCAAACAATGAATCAATCAATAATTAGTTATCGAACTTAACATAAATAATATACACCTTTGTTATCTTTGTGAGTCGTATCTAAGACTTTTCACTGAGGAATACCAAGCTCTTTATAAAATTTCTATTTTAACCTTGTTTAAGGGATCATAATGAGAAAGAACCAACAGAATAATGGCTCGTTTAAAAATGCTTTTAAAATGACTAAAAGTTTTTAATGAATTTTTTTTCAAACCAATTCTTAGTAAAAATGCTAGTGAATTTAGAAAGCATTTGAAGTGTTTTCTGCTAGAAGTACATAACCAGTGTTTAATAAGGTCTTTTTGGAACCCAAAAATCGTTTTTAATCATTTTAAAAACACTACCAAGTAAACCTATATTGTGTGCCTAAAATAATATAAAAATAATAGTCATTAATGTTGAGTCATTAGGAGCACACGTTCTTAAGGTTTTGCTATCATAGAGAGCATAGTTGGAGTTGAATTTTTCTAAACTTCTAAATCTCGTCTTGAGAGCACATTAAAAATGCTGTAATAATGCATATTCAACTCATAACACATGAAAGAGGAATCATGCCCCAATGAGTAATTAATCATAGTGCTTTGGTTTAATCACCTTTTTTTGTGTGTACAAGCTATGTTAGGGAGGAGAATTAAAATCGAGATTTCAAGTGCATTAGAAAATATTCTTAACTAGTTGAATTACAAGTCTCTTTTTGCTTAATTACAATCAAAGATGAAGGAATTGAAACACTGCAATAGGTTTTTAAAAGCTCGAAGTGCATCTTTGTGCTAAGGGCTGGTTTGGTATTGCTGTGCTTTGAAAAAAAAGCTGCTGTGAGAATAAGCGGCTGTGCTGTGAGAATAAGCGGCTGTGAAATAAAGCAGCAGAGTGTTTGGTAAACTTCTTTGTAAAAGTGCTTTTGGAAAAAAAAAGCAGTTTGATAGTGGGTCTTTTCATTAAAGGAGCACTGTAGCTCTGTGTGCTTTGAAAAAAAGCCAGTTTTCCAAAGCTGCAAATAGCAGCTTCAGCTTTTTCCTTTGATTTCAGCTTATTCTCACAGCAGCTTCCAAAATAAGCCATTTTTTTCAGTTTACCAAACACCTAAAACCCTTACAGCTTTTTTTCATGGATGCTTTTTTTTTAAGCACCTCACTCCCAAATCAGGTCTAAGTCTTTTTATTTTTCTTATTTTCAAGTGCCAATATTCATGAGAATCCTCAACTCCCCTTCTACAGGGTTATATATAATTTTTCTTCTTAGAAATGTTGTCTGTATATATGGAGTTGTCAGTTGTGTGGCAAATGCCAACAAAAATGGCCTTTCGACTTCACCAAAAGACCACTTGATTCGAAATATCTGGTTTTCGAACTCCCAACGGTCAGATATAGTCTCTCTGACCCTTTCATCTTCCTAAAGAAAATCATATTCATATCCATCTCTGGAGCAATTGGAAGAGAAAGAAACATCCAATAGAAATAATGGGCATGCAGCTGATGAGGACTTCTAGATTTCATCACCATCTTCTTCATCCCGAAAGCACTTCTACCCCTCCCACAAAAGCACTTTTTGGTTTAGGACATGTCAACAGCAGAAGCATAGTAAACATCAAAAGAAGAAATCAAATTTATGGGATTGTGGCTTCAAGCAATTTGGCTTCACCACTATGGGACAGCTGGAAGCCTGAGAAGGGTTCCGCTGCTCCTTCTCTCAGTGACATTACCTGGCCTTCTGCAGGTAATTAGAATCATAGAGATTAATATTATAAATAATAATACCTATTAATCATGTGTTTAGATGCATTAATGATGTGCATTTGGTGAAAAATAGGGGCTTTTGCAGCAATGGCAATATTGGGGAGGATGGATCAGATATTAGCACAAAAAGGAATGTCAATGACAATTGCACCTTTAGGGGCAGTTTCTGCAGTCCTCTTTGCCACTCCATCCTCTCCTGGTGCTCGGGTATTAAACTTGTTCTACTTTCTGAGGTTTAAATCAGGAGAGATTCTTGCATATAAACTGCTGATATATTCATGTTTCTGTATCACTCATCACATGATTTATGTAGTGATATAATTACATTAAAGATATATTTTCAAGTTTATAACGCTTATCACTTGACTTATAAAATGTTATAGTAACATGTGCACGACATATTTCCGGTGACACACAAATTTTTCCCAAAATTATCCATGAATGCTCTTTGTTCTTTTGTAATCTATTTGGTGAATATGAGCCATAAGTTGCTTTGTTCTCCTTCAAGCCTAGACTGCCTTGTTTGAGTAGTGAGTCAATGGTAGACACGAGTACATGTATACAATTGGCACAACTCCAGCTGTATGGACCCAACATGATGAAAATGGAAGATAGCAAAATTAAGTCCAGATTTTCTTGAAGTTCCTTATTAGGACTTATTTTGATCCAAACTTTTAATTGTTCTGGCCTGTTCATTTAGGAAGCTGAATATTTAAGGGGGAAATGTCCATGAGTCGTAGATGTTTTGTATATGAGTTTGCCAATCTATACAACTCTTGTAAGAATTTGCAGGTCAAGTTATTAAGATTGCTTATCCTTATACATGAAATCCTCTGTTCAAAATTCAAATACCCCATCTTCCTTACGCTTAGTCTTTTTGTATGTGAAAAGACCTATATACCTAGGTCAAATAAAGGGTTAAACGTATATTACAGAGTCATATGAAAGAGTCGAACTTAAATTCATCTTGGCCGAAAAATGAACAACAGAGTTAGATTTGTTCGACTTAGATTTGATGGTTAAACAAATTTGCTATTCGTCAAAAGTGGTAATTTCAATTTTTGTGTCATTCCCCAATTAAATTTAAGATAATCAAAAGCATATATAGCCTATTGAAATAACACACTAATTCTCCCTTGTGGTTTTGCAGAAGTACAATATGTTCATGGCACAAATAGGTTGTGCAGCAATTGGTGTACTGACATTTTCCACATTTGGCCCAGGATGGCTTGCTAGGAGCGTTGCCCTAGCTGCATCCGTTGCTTTCATGATTTGCACACGTTCCGCACATCCACCTGGTAATTCCTGCTACCTCCTATCCAACACAAAATTCTCATTAATCTCTTTTTTCTGCTACTAAAATCTGGTGCACAACTTATTCTGTGTTCAATTTGCAGCTGCAAGCTTGCCTTTACTCTTCATCGATGGAGCGAAGTTCCATAACTTGAGTTTCTGGTATGCTTTGTTCCCGGGCACCGCTGGATGCGTTCTTCTTTGCTTGATTGTAAGCACTCTTACACTAATTAATCCTAGCCAATTGCAAAACTTGTTTGCTTATTTGTTCTGAACACATTTCAACACTTTTAGTATGCAATGGCTGATCTCACTAATTATCTCGATGTTTCTGCAGCAAGAAATAGTGTTATACTTGAAGGAAAACTTCAAATTTTGATCATCTGGAAGCAAACACATGCTTGGCTACTCACATAGTTGGAGACATCGTACATTCCTTCATCTCAAGTTCAATATTCAAGGAAATGCACCCCATATAGAAATGAAAAGCAAAACTCGAATACAACTAAAGGTCAGTAAGTCTTGGGTTCGACTGCGCACCCGAATCTCCTTAGGGACGCATGAAATTAAGTCCAAAGGAGTTTGTTGCCCACAATTATATTGTAGTTCTATTGTAAAACGTGATCTAAATTATTCTCCTCTACACCAAGATTGTGGTCCTAAATCCTAAAAGTAGTGCATTGATGGTTCTAAGGTTCTTAAATTGATGTGAGGAAATATCTACTTGCCATATGGTCCATGACTCCATGAGAGTAAATTTATTTTGCTTTAATTAGTCCAATATCAAATACTGATTTTGGGGCTTAACATCAATGGTTAATACATACAATTCATCAAATTGATCAAAGATTGTAATTTCATGGAGAGATTTTTCAATGTGCTGGAAACATGGTCTGGTACACCAATACAGCGTGTATCATAATATAAATGGTTGGATACTTGAAAAAAATAATTACAACGATACTTCGTGTATAGGATTGTGTTCCTGGTACACTGAAAAATATCTCAACTTGTAGGAGTATGTTGCCCACAATTATATTGTAGTTCTATTGTAAAACGTGATCTAAATTTATTCTCCTCTACACCAAGATTGTGGTCCTAAATCCTAAAACTAGTGCATTGATGGTTCTAAGGTTCTTAAATTGATGTGAGGAAGTATCTACTTGCCATATGGTCCATGACTCCACGAGAGTAAATTTATTTTGCTTTAATTAGTCCAATATCAAATATTGATTTTGGGGCTTAACAGCAATGGTTAATACATACAATTCATCAAATTGATCAAAGATTGTAACTTCATGGAGAGATTTTCCAATATTTTGGAAACACAGTCCGATACACCGACACATCGCGTATCATAATATAAATGGTTGGATACTTGAAAAAAAAATTACAATCACTTGTATTATGACACTTGATGTATAGAACCATGTTCCCGACAAACTGAAAAATATCTCAACTTCATCAGTGTTTTCTTGCATGCAATAGAGTTGTGCCCACAACATTATCATGGAATTTTGGGGTTAAAATGGAGGCTAACAAGAAAACTATCATTATCTAACAACTTCCAATGCTCCCTCCTACGTAGGTTTATTTTATTTTATTTTATTTTTTTTTATTGTTGTTGTTGTTAAGAATGAAACTCACTCCTAAAAGTTTAGTGGATATGAAACAGATAAAGGGTAATTTTATCGGCACGTCTAAATAAATATCTTGTTTTTATATTTACAAAAAATGTAGACGCAATATGTTTAAGTACAAATAACATATTTTTGATGTAAACTAAAGAGAATTAAAACAAACTCTTATATAACACAATTCATTTCCAATTTAGTCAAATCTAAAGAGCAAAGGTAAAGCTGAACATCAACTTAGTTTTAAAAATACACTTGTCGAAAGAGATTTAAAACTTTGATCGAATACAACTTTCCCAACATTCTATATGTACGTATGAGATTGAGTAAGAGAAAGAACAAAAAAGGATCAAAAGCCACCCTAGCTTTATAGCTCTCTTAGTCAATCTAATTCATTAGTCCACAAACAAATTTACTAAATGCAAATGACATTCTTTGATGATAAAATAGAATTATGAGTCTCGTGTTATAAATAGGCAAAATTTATAGAGAGATAACCTTTACTCGGTGAAGGAACGAAGCAGTTGCAGAGTAATATACCGACACAAGCTGTTGCAGAGGAAGTAATGTATATTATTGCTATTAGATATATTTCTCTTTCTTTCTTCTTCTCATTCACTCTTCTTTGCACAATTGAAGTGCTCTATTTATAGAGCTACTTCTATAGAAAATTACAAAACATTACTATTTAGCTTATGAGTATATAGTATACACATGTGATACTTCACTATACACATTACTATACACATGTGGGCAAACATACCCATTATTTACAACACTCCCCCTTGGATGCCCACATATCAACATCAGTTGCCTCATTAAAACCTTGCTTGGAAAAACCCTGTGGGAAAAAACCATAGCGAAGGAAAAAGAGTACAACTATACCTGGATGGTGTTGAGCATGCTTAGGTTGCCTCGTTAAAACCTTGATAGGAAAAACCCAGTGGGAAAAATCCTAAGCGAAGGAAAAAGAGTACAACATGCATGTATCATGGATGCTCCCCCTGAATTGTATCTCCCCCTGATTCCGCATTCTTCAAATCTGTAAGCCGACGTAATCCGATTCCCTGTACCAACTTCTGAAATGTGCACTTTGGTAGAGATTTGGTGAACAAGTCTGCTAAATTTTCATTAGAACGGATTTGTCTGACTTTAATAACTTTAGCCTTCTGAAGCTCATGTGCGCTGAAAAATCTTGGAGATATGTGTTTAGTCTTATCACCTTTGATAAATCCTTCCTTCATCTAGGCGACACAGGCTGCATTATCTTCATGGATGACAGTTGGAGTGTCTGTCTTTGAAGGTAGACCACATGAATTCCGGATGTGATGGATCATTAATCTTAACCAAGAACATTCACGACTTGCTTCATGTAAAGCAATTATTTCCGAATGATTGGAAGATGTTGCAACTAGCGTTTGCTTTGTTGATCGCCATGAAATTGCAGTATCTCCATTAGTGAACACATATCCATTTTGTGAGCGGGCTTTATGCGGATCGGAGAGAAAAAACCAGCATCTGCGTATCCAACAAGGATTTGTTCATTTGTGGGCTTGTCTGAGTAGAAGAGACCCATATCTGTTGTCCCACGAAGGTATCGTAGAACATCTTTGACTCCTTTCCAATGACGGATTGTTGGAGCAGAGCTATACCTGGCTAACAAGTTAACTGAAAAAGCTATATCTGGTCTAGTACATTGTGCTAAATACAATAAAGCACCTATTGCGCTCAAATATGGTACTTTTGGACCAAGGACCAGTTCATCATCTTTCTTTTGGACGAAATGGATCTTTCTTAATGTCCAAAGAACGAACGACCATTGGGGTGCTAAGTGGATAAGCCTTGTCCATGCCAAATCGCTTCAGTATTTTTTCAATGTAAGCTGATTGATGGACCAAAATTCCACTAACACAATGCTCGATCTGCAGGCCTAGACAATATTTGGTTTTCCCAAGGTCTTTCATTTTCAAATTCGCTTTTCAGATATTCAGCAGTTTTGTTGAGCTCTTCAAGGGTTCCAACTAGGTTCATATCATCGACATATACTGCCACTATAGCAAATCCAGTATTTGATTTCTTAATGAACACACAAGGGCAGATGACATTGTTGGCATATCCTTCTTTAATCAAATACTCACTGAGACGATTATAACCACATTCGCCCAGATTGTTTTAGCCCATATAGTGATCGCCTTAATTTGATTGAGAACATACCCCGTGGTTTGTTAGTTGCTTCAGGCAACTTAAGTCCTTCTGGGACTTTCATATATATGTCAGTATCTAATTCTCCATATAGATACGCGGTGATGACATCCATAAGTCGCATATCAAGTTTTTCTGAAATCACCAAAACTTATTAAATAACGGAACGTAATTGTGTCCATTACAGGAGAGTATGTCTCTTCATAATCAACTCCAGGTCTTTGTGAAAAACCTTGTGCAACAAGTCGTGCTTTATATCTTGCAATCTCGTTTTTCTCGTTGCGTTTCCTTGTGAACACCCATTTGTAACCTACGGGGTTTACATCAGTTGGGGTTTGGACTACTGGTCCAAAAACACTTCGCCTTTCCAAGGAATTTAATTCTGCCTGGATTGCATCTTTCCACTTAGGCCAATCTTTGTCTCTGTTTGCATTCATCAACAGAGCGGGGCTCAATATCATCACTTAATATAATTTCAGTGGCTATTGCAAATGCAAACATGTCATCGATGATTATTTCATTTCGATCCCACAATTCATTAGTACATGTATAATTTATGGATATTTCTTTGCTTTCATGTACTTCTGTCTCTTCAGGGACATGTGTCTCATCAAGGACATTTTCTTTTTCTGGAAGTACAGAGTCACGAATTGTGGATTTATCATTCAATTCCTTTTCTTGAATGATATCATTTGGGTTCAATTGGGCCCTCATCTTTCTCTTTCGAGGGGCTGAATCTTTTGAACCCTGGGGGGTCTACCACGCTTCAGGCGTGCACTGGATGAATCATTCGCTGCCACTTTATTTTGTCCAACAGGGACATCAATTCTTGCAGGTGCGTTTGCAGCCGGTATATATGACTGTGTCACTTTCGAAGCATCATTAAATGCATCTGGCATTTGATTAGCAATACCTTGAAGATGAACGATCCTTTTTCACTTCATTTTCACATTGAGTGCTTCTTGGATCAAAATGAGATAAGGTGGGAACAACCCATGTTTAGCTCTTGTCGTTCTTCTGGAACGGGTCTTTTCTCCCCCTAACGACGGGAAAACTATCTCATCAAAATGACAATCAGCAAAACGAGCTGTAAACACATCACCAGTCAAAGGTTCCAAATATCTAATGATGGATGGTGAATCAAAACCCACATAAATTCCCAATCTGCGCTGAGGTCCCATTTTAGTTCGTTGTGGTGGTGCAATAGGCACATAAACAGCACAACCAAAAAAACTCGTAAATGTGAAATATTTGGCTGATGTCCAAACACGAGTTGTATTGATGAGTATTGGTGGTTGGCTATGGGTCTCAATCTAACCAATGATGCAGCATGTAATATGGCATGTCCCCATGTAGAAACTGGCAATTTTGTTTTCATGAACAGAGTGCGGGCTATTAATTGAAGCCGCTTGATAAATGCCTCTGCTAAACCATTTTGAGTATGGACATGAGGAACAGGGTGTTCAACACATTAATGCCCAGTGCCATACAGTAAATCATCAAATGTTTGAGACGTAAATTCACCAGCGTTATCAAGTCGAATGGACTTAATGGGATGATCTGGGAACTGTGCTCGCAACTTAATTATCTGAGCAAGAAGTCTCGCAAAAGCTACATTTCGAGTAGACAATAGGCAAACATGTGACCATCGGGTAGATGCATCAACCAAAACCATAAAAATATCGAAATGGTCCACAAGTTGGTTGAATAGGTCCACAAATATCCCCTTGAATTCTTTGCAAAAATGATGGGGATTCATCATCAACCTTTAGTTGTGATGGTCTAATTACCAACTTCCCTTGGGAACAAGCCT